CTCATAGCGACCCTATGCACAACAGCCCTAAACCCTGCTCTATCCTGCGCCAACCGCACCGCCTCTGATACACCCATCCCGATTACCCCAGTCACTGAATCAATCCACCTCATAGAGGGTCTTCCCCTCCTGCGCCGTCCCTCCACCCTCCCAAGCATGCACCAAATGCCATACAAGAGACAAAAAGCTAGAAAAAGATAGTGTTTCTTCCTTCTCCTCCCTTTAACTGATGGCCTCTGGTTTCCAGGCTCCCAGGTAAGCTGGATCTTCTTCTGGTCAAGTATTCTGATGCTCACCAGATGAATGAGTTGTCATTCTTATGTGTCAAGTCAGAATTGACTCAGAGTCTGTAGATCTCATGGGAGAAGATTGGCCGTCTTTTTCCTGAGCTGTTGGCCTCGCTGTCTTTGAGTTGGCAGTACAGGTCCTTACTAGGCCACCAGAGCTCCCTAAAGGATGGTAATAGGCAAATAAAGTTCTCGTTACCTAACAAAAGGATTGGACAGTTTGCTAATAATACAACACTCATTTGTTCGTTCATTTAGGTTTGGAATAAACCAAAAACTCTGTGATCATGGCAGCAAAGCCCAAGCTTCATTACTTCAATGGACGTGGCAGGATGGAAGCCACCCGGTGGCTCTTGGCCGCAGCTGGAGTGGAGGTAGGTTCTGGGGTAGGTTCTGGTAAATGACATCAAAAAGAATCTGTACAAGAGGGGTTTTCTCATACAAGCCAGAAGACTTCAATAGTGGATGACCTGTCAATAGTTGCATCTTATATCAAAATATCACAGTGCAAAGTCTTTTGCATGCAAAAAGCAATCCACATGCTACCCCATATGAATTGCATTAGGGTTAAAGCCACATCATTGGTCATCCAAATAGATGCAGAGATGTCATTTATCAATACTTAATATCCTTTCACAACAAAAATTCTCAATCAACTTGAACTATAAGGAAACGTCTTCAATCTGTTAAAAACCACCTACCATTCTCTTTAACCTTCTACTTCCATTATCATAAAAAAACTCAGTAATAAAAGACTGAAAGGATTCTCACCCCTTCAGATCAAGAAGAAGACAAAGATGTCCACTCTTACCGTTTCTAATCTAAGTGCAGTAGGGGGAGTTGTAATGTCGTCATCTATAGGGAGTTTCACTGCTAACTCAAAGGCTGTGTTTCTCTGGTGGTTTGAATATACCAGTGATTCCGGGGGTGGGGGGAAAGGGCAATCTCCTCCTAATACTAAAAATTCACAGTGTTAGTAACACAACTGGAGGAAAAGCCATGAGTTGATTCCAACTCAATGGCAATAAGATTGAGTTTGAAAGGTGCTAGCCAGTAATTAAGCAGGAAAAATAAGTGAAAGGCATCTAAATTGGAAAGGAAAAAAATAAAATACCATCTCTACTTGCAAATGGAATTATCTTTTGTGTTTGGAAAATCTTATAATGAAATACTACGCAGAAATAGAAAAGAATGAGTTACCAATGTCTGTACTAGCACAGATGGATCTCAAAATTAGGTTGGATGAAAGAGTTCAAACACAAAAGTATAGTGTTTTGTTGTCATTGTGTACCATTGGGTCAGAACTGGCCCATAAACTGGCCCTCTGGTGGGTTTTCAGAGGCAGTTAATTCCCTGGGAGGAGACTGCCCATCCATCTCCAGCAGAGCAGCTGATGGGTTCAAACCATGTGCCTTTGGGATTGCAGTGCAGCATCTTGCCACTAGGCCACCAGAGCTCCAAAAGTGTAGTGTAGTGTTTGTTTTACTTTAAAACTACATTTACAAATTTTACAAAAAGGAAATAGAAAATAGAGGACCAACTTCAAAGATTCCTGAGAGAATTTATCAGGATGCTGGAATTGTTCTGTACCTTGGTTGTTGTTAGAGTTAAATGGGTATTTACATTCGTGAAACTTCAGGGGACCAGTGTACTTAGAGTGCCTTTATGTAACTTGTTTATTACTGAATTTTATTTTATAAATTTAAAATTCACCAGTTATTGAGAAAGACATAGAGTCAACAAAATAAAATTTTAACAGTTTTGTCCATCAAAGTGCACAAAATCATTCATTAGTAAGTCACTATTGGTGGTCCTTATTTGGATTTAGACTTAAGCAAACTAGGGAACTAAATCAATCTCAACCTTTTGATAGTAATTAGAGACATGAGCATGGATGATATTGAATTGCAGTTAATATTTTAGGTGTGATAATGTATGTGTGTGTGATAAGAGAGTTCCGGTGACCTAGGGAGCTCTGGTGGCCTAGGTATGTGGTTCAAATCCACCAGCTGTTCCAAGGGAGAAAGATGGGTAATTTCTTCCTGTGCAATTAGCTGTCTCTGAAAACCCACCAGAGGGTCCGTTATGAGTCAGTTCTGACTCTATTATACACAACTAGCAGCAACAACAATATATATGGTTACTTTTTAATATAGCTTTGATGGTATAATGATATGTATTGAGGTATATAGGATGAAATATTTACATCAACGTATTACTGTAAGAGGAGAATGAAAAGAGGATAGACGAAATTTGCTTGAGTTGACTGGATTATATATGCAAACTAGATTACTATATTATTTTCATTAATGCTAAACATATCCGTAATAAAAATATGTAAGATACTTACTGTAATTAAGCTTAAAATATAAACCACAAGTGTGTGGAAGCTGCCAGGTGAGTGGATTGTAACGTATTGTCTATTAAAAAGTTCAATACATATTTCCAGAAATTAATTTTGGCAACAAAATTGTTTGGTGTTAGTATCCTTGTAGTGTACTAATGAACAAGACAGGTATGGTTCCTTCCTTCAGGCAACAGTTATACAGTGAGGATGTAAACCCACAGATAATTCAAATAAGGAGTGAGAGCATTGAGGAAGACATCTGATCTTTCACAGTGTTTAAATGCAATACTCGGTAGGGTTTGAACATTATGCGATTGAGTTTCAGGTCACTCTTGGTCAGCTGTGTCACTGAGGAAAACACTTTTCATCTGAAGGAAGTGAGTCAGGGGACAACTTGTTCAGGAGATAGGAAAGCAAAGGGGAGGAGGGAGGGTTTTTTCAGGTGAAGTGGTGTCCTAAAAGCTAATAAGAACTAATCCCTCCTTCAAGCTTCATACCAATTTGCTTACCTGCACCTCAAGGTTACTTCATTGATGACATCATGATTATATTGGACTTTAGGCCAAGACTTTCTCAATGTTATGAAGAAAGAAGCAAACAAACAAAAATCTAAGCTGTGCAATCCTACTTTGTTTCCTCTCTGTAAATGAGTAACTTGTTTTAGCACAGTCCAAAAGTCAGCTCTGTGGTTCATGGAAGGTTATGTATTCTGAGCATCTGGTCTAGATAAACTCCTTGGAGGAGGCTGGAATAGAGGGGGAAACTGAGAACATTTATGTCTCCTTTTGTCTGTTCAGCTTGTCTGAAGATGATGGGGACAGATCAAAGACTGTCCAGAGACCCTGCTCAGAATTCCTGGGTCTTTGAGCCTAAAATATAATCATCTTATCCCATTTCCTCACAAGCAAGCAAGCCCTCACCAAAACCAGCTCACTTCGGCTACCCTTCACAATGGCCACTTACCATGCCATCTGGCTTAAGCTGGATCATTTATGAATCGTTAGCATACACCACCCATACAGCCTGACCCTATGCAATTGTATAGATCTACAACACAGAATTTTTTTTTCCTCTGAGAAATTACAAACCTCAAAAATTCCCAAGCTTCTTATCAGTAGGAAAAAACACACTAAGAAGTTTAAAACTACTTAGAGGTTCCAAGGAAAAAAATACCTGGTGATGATCTATTTCTACATGAAATTCCAGAAAACTCTGTCAACTTCCACTTTGCCCTATAGAGTTGCTGTGAGTTGAAAAATAACTTGATGGTACAAAATGACAACCACCACTACTGTTAATTACTTGTTTTTCTATGGACAACGCCTTGTATAGGTCAAAACCATTTCAGCAAGTAAGGAATGTTCAATATTATTTTATAAAGAAACCACATGTTGGAGATATCAAGTGATTGTACCCATCTCACGGAGCTATTATGTGGCAGAAGCAAGACAAATCACGTTGACATCACATCCATAATCTTGATAACTTTGTCCTTGAACTTTTGGTCGATTGTATCTATTATTATGATAGATTATTTTGAAAGATTTGATAAATTATATCTATTAAAATTATATTAAAATCATCAATAACTTATTTTAGCATTTGTTTTAAGGAGCTACAATCACTCAGCACTCCCATCCACCCGAGGCAGTCCCACCAATGTGTCTGGGTCTAATTTGCACGAAGGTTTCATTATTGGAAATAGGCCAGGACAACTCAAATAGTCACCAATGTAATTAGTTTCAAAAATACATGTCCATCTGTATGATGAAATAACACCCATCTTTGAAAGGAACTGTGTTGCAATCCTAAAGGCTCGTGGTTCAAATCCACCAGCTGCTATGAGGGAGAAAGATGGGTAATCTCCTCTCGTGCAATTAAATTGCCTCTGAAAACCCACCAGAGGGTCAACTATGAGTCGGTTCCAACTTGATTGTACACAATGACAACTTTTATTTATTAATTTATATTTACTTGCATTTGTATGTTCTTACCACTGACCTGAGTGCTCCACATGTGTGAGACCTTAAATCTACTGCAAACTAATCACATCCACAGTCACACTCAGATGAGAACACTGAGGCACCTCAAGGCTCAGTAGTGTGTCTTCAGGTACAAAGTGGGGAAAGCTGAGTTTCAAACCCAAGAATTCAAATCAGAAACTAACTTATTTTAGGGGTCTGCAGGTGCAACTAGACCAAGGACTTTCATTTTTCTCTTGAGATTGACAGTCCTGCCCTGGAGGTCCAAATTTTCATGTAGAGGAAATAACTGAGTTGTAGGAATAAGAGCTTTGTGTGCAGCAACTAGGAGATAGATGATAGATAGATAGATAGATAGATAGATAATTTGTCTGAATGATTGAAGAAATAAAATTTGTGACCGAGGCAAATTGGCAACAAAATCTGAAATGGTCTCTAGACCAATGATGTACCCTACACTGGGGCACACATGTTTGTTCCTGAGATGCTGTGGAGAAGTAGATTCTCTCAAGATGTTCAACTCTAGAATTATGAATACCCAATTTCCTCTCCTCCAATCATATATTACTCTCAAATCATTACCTATTCTTGGAGATGATGATGGCGGGGAAAGACATCTTCAGAAAAGAGCAGCTAGCTATTGAGACTAATATCATCTTATCTAAGAATTCCAAAGGGCCATGAACAGACAGCTATTGCCTAACTTAGAAATTTCTCTTTCCCCATAATAGATATGGGATATTCAAGTTTGAAATCTCTGTAATCCTGTTGAAGGAAGTTAATAGGACACTTTTTTTCCTATGTTCTAGTTTGAAGAGAAATATATAGAAACTCCAGAAGACTTGGACAAGTTAAAAAATGGTAAGACTGAATTTCTAAAAACCCCTGAGGAAGATATCTACTGGAAGTCTTAAGCTAACACCAGGCAATGCCCGAAGTGTTTGTGTGGTGGTGATGGTGAGGGTGGTAGAGATGGAGAAAGAAAATTGAAATATAAAATATAGGGCTTTTTAAGCAGTTCAGGGAATTTCTTGGAGCTAAAAAAGGGTAAAATTCTTGCTACAGAAACCTTGCCTAAGGCCTTATGAATAATTTCAGGTTACTTTTTCCATGCTTCTTAACACCATGAATGAGCTGCAAAGAGTTCAGTATCCCACACTTCTCTCTACCCCAAAACACACAGATGCATTAGCATGAAATGAATAGAGGTGTGACAGTGAACTTGAGTTCTCTCTTATGAGTTGTGACAAGGTAAAATCCTAGCCATATTACAAATTCAAATAAACAAGACTCTCTGGTGAAGTAGTTGGGAGATCAGGTTAGAGGACGTGAATGGGTATAGCAAGACCAGAATCCTGGGGTTAGGAAAATTGTTTCTTCCATGCATGCACCACCCCCCTGGAGCAAAGTGAGGGGCACAAAATGCAGTCCAGGGAGCATTGGTGGCTTAGTGGTAAGAGTTGTACTGCTAACCCAAAAGCACGAGGTTTGAATCCATCAGCTCCTCTGTAGGAAGAAAATGAGCAATCCCCTTGCCTATCATTTACACTTCTGAAAACTCACTTGAAGGGTGAACTATGAGTCAGCTCCAACTTGACAGTAAGTAACAACGCCATAGAACTCAGGACTGTCCTTAAATGCCATGACACCTGAGAGTTATTTTGGAATCTTCCCTTTTAAAATGTACCGTGGCTGACAGCCCCTTTGAAAATCACCCCCAACTTCTTCTTTGAAGACAAATAAACATGTAAAAGGTGAAGGAGTTGCCGTATATGTCCAGTTGGAAAATAAAAAGATAAATGACATAACAAGTTAAAAATGAAAGGGAGAGTGATACAGAGGGGGAAAAATCTCACTGTGAATGAACACAAAATGCGGTTTCTGTAGCAGTGTTATCGGATTATGATTTTCCGTTTCATTTAGCATCTTCTGTCACTGCAACACACTTTTATTTTTTACCCTTAGAGATTGCAAACCTTAAAATATTTCACTTAATCTTTTTCTTTTTCTTTCAAAAGATGGGCTTTTGATGTTCCAGCAAGTGCCGATGGTTGAAATTGATGGGATGAAGCTGGCACAGTCCAGAGCCATTCTCAACTACATCGCCTCCAAATACAACCTTTACGGGAAGGACATCAAGGAGAGAGCCCTGTACGGTGGACTTTGTGTTCTTACATCAGTAAAGAACAAGGGACTTGCTTAGGTTCTACAGGGAGAGGACAGAGTGTGCTGGGACTGCAGAAGAGGTCAGGAGGTATAGAAGGCCCATGGAGACCTCGGTATAGCAGCAGGCTGGGCCTTAGGCACTTAGCCTGAGTGAGGACCAGTAAAGCACAGTGCTAGGGAGCCAGGGAACGAGAAACTAGGAGTAGACTGAGAGCGTGTGCCATGATGTGACTCAGCGACTATACTAGACACTTAGTGCCATTCATTTGATTTCAATTCATAATGCCTCTCCACTGGATTTGTGAGGCTATAAATCTTAACAGGAAGAGACTGTCCATCTTTCTCCCAAAGAATAGCAGACGGGTTCAAAGTACCAGTCACATGGTCTTTTGGTTAGCAGTAAAGCTCCTTATGAATCATGCCACCAGAGTTCTGTGACAGAGCCTTCCACATACTGACAACCAAGATGTCAGAAAGATGGCAATATCATTGTTATGTCACCCTGGGGGTTCTAGAGAAGGCTAAAGAAAGGAAAGATCCAAAGAAGTTTATTTTCAAGTTCTAGAAACAGGAAAATGAGGAGGAGGAAACTAGTTAAGCTAGAAACAGTGTTTCCTTTTGTCTCTGCTGGTTGCCCCAGGCATCCAGATGCAGGCCCAAAGCAGCCAGGGCCTTGCAAACACCCAAATCAAATCCAAGAGACAGAGCTATGTTAGTGGTTATCAGAGGCTAGAAGACCAGACGGACAAGGAATGATGATAACAAGTATATAACAAATTTCTTTTGGGAATGATGCATCTACTCTGATGATAGTTGCACAACTCTTATTTATGCATTTTAAAAGCATGAAATTTATGACATGTAAATTATATCTCAGTAAATAGTGTTTAAAAAAACTTTTGGGCAACTGAATTGTACAGGTTAAAAGTGCTGAAACATAATATTTTTGTTTTTGTGTTTTTCTACAATTAAAAAAAATAATAAGTAAATGTTCATTAAAATTATTTAAAAAAGAATATGAAGAATAAAAAAATAAAATAAGGTTCTTAGAAAAGCTTAATTTGGAACAAAAGAAAGAATATTCCCTGGATTATACATTGGTTGCAATTGTTTAAATAATTGTACCTAATTGAGAAGTTAGTTTCCATGGTTATTGAGAAATGCAAATATGGCCACAATTTCACAATAATAGTTCCTGGAGAAAGGGAACTCTAGAGGCCTACTGGTAAGAAGTTGTACTTCCAATCCAAAGACAAGGGGTTCAAATTCACAAGCTGCCCTGAGAGAGAAAGAGAAGTGATTTTTTTATCTTTCTCTCCCATGCAACTTACAACCTCTGAAAATCTGATCAAGGGGCAATTATGAGTCAGTTCTGACTGAAAGGCACAAACCAACAATAAAAAAACAACAACTTGGAGGGGAGAAAAATCTCCAACAAGATGGATTATTAACATAGTGACTGTAAAAATGGGCTCAAGCATATTAGAGGTGGTAAGGGTGGCCCAGGATAGGACAAAGTTCAGATTTGTTGTTCATAGGATCACTGTGAGGTGTAGTCGACTCAATGCACCCAATAACAGCAGCTTGGAAAACGCTGTGGAGACATGTTTTATGGAAAATAATTAAAAGAGCTGCTGATCTGGGGCCTTGAAACAGGCCTGAGCAGTGTACTAAAGTGAGAGAGGAAAAGGATAGGACAGAGACAGACTTGTGACCTCTCTCTTGAGATTACTTGTTGTTGTTGTGTGCCATCGAGTTGCCTGTGACCCATAGTAACCCTGCATGTAGCTCCAAACCTTGCCCCATCCTGAGCCAGTCTCTCTGACTCTGACACACCAACCCCCATTGCTTGTTACTGTATCAGTCCTTCCCCTCCAGGGTTTTCCTCTCCTGCTGTCTCTCCACCTTTCCAAGCATGATGTCCTTCTCCAAGGTGTCCGCCTCCTGGACAGGTTCCCAAAATATGTGAGAAGAAGCTTCAAAATCCTAGCCTCCAAGGAGAAACTTGGTTTCACCCTTTCTAAGACACACCTATTTGTTTTCTTGGCAGTCCGTGGTATGTTCAAGCCTCTTCTCCAGCACCACAATTCAAAAACACCAATTCTTCTGTCAACCTTAGTCATTGTCCAGTTTTCTGATGCATAGCAAGTATGGCAAAGACCATGGCCTGGATTGGGCACACCCTAATCTTTAGACTGACATCATTGTTCTTTAGTACTCAGGAAACATCCCTGAAAACAAATTTATTTAATGCAATTTGTCTTCTGATTTCCTGACTGCTGGTGCCAAGAGTGTTCATAATGGAGCCGAGCAAGCTGAAATTGTTAACAACCTCAATCTCTTCTCCATCTATCATGGTGCTGCCAGTTAGAAGGCTTTTAGTCACATACCTCACACTAGTTTGTGCATAAAACAACAGAAATGGAAAATCCTAGGAACAATATAATTTGGTTCTTGTGTGTTCCTTCCAACTCTATCTTGTCCTTGACCTTAATAGATCCCCCATGCTCTCTGTACCTACTTTTATTCAAATGTTTAAGAGAAATCTTAGAGCTATACATATCTTCAATAGATTGTTATAGAAATTAAATGTAAAAAGATAACTAAAAATTACAGCATCATTATTAGCACAAAACAAATACCAAATGAAGGTAATCCTCTTTAATATAAAACTCTGAGGCAGGAGGCATTTGACAGTTTGCTCGTTTTTGCCTTTCAGGATTGATATGTATGTAGAAGGTGTGGCTGATTTGACTGAATTGATGTTTCAAGTGCCATTATGTCCCCCTGAGGAAAAAGAGGCCAAAATTGCCCTAATCAAAGAGAGAACAACAAACCGCTACCTCCCAGTCTTTGAAAAGGTAAATGGAATCTCTCTGGTGTCTGAGGCTACTAATAGTTCAGGGACCTGCAGAATACCAGTGCCACTGAAGCACTGACTTTCATTCCAATCAGTCACTGTTAAAACTAAGTTAACATATTGACCCTCAAGATATTTTATTAAAATGTACAGTGAAATTCACATGATAGAATACTATGCAACACTCAGGAGCAACAATTTAGAAAATTACTACATACTTGAGAGAGACTGGAGGGCATTACGCAGAGTGAACTAACTTAGTCTCATAACGATAAATATTGCATAGGACCATTATTGTAAAAAACAGAAGGATAACTAGTAAAATGTGTATGGGGATCCAAGAAGGGAAGGAGTGGGAACAGAGGAGTGCGGGTGGGCAGGGAGAAATCATAGGGTCGCACAATTTGGTGGATGGAGAGGAGGGTAAAGGAAATGCGAAATATCTGCTGGGGATCTGGAGAGACTGGGTAATGATGGGCATAGTTCAATGGTGACTGATTTTATAAAACAATGAATGAGAATAATTGTCTGAAACACAATGAATGAAGGATAGTGTGAAACACAATGTGTACAAACTTTGCATTCAAACCAATGCAATTTTTTTAAAAAGTTAAATAAATTGCAATAACTACTAATTAAAAATATGAACAGAAGGACCTCTGGTAGCATAGTCTGTAGGTAGCTGCACTGAGAACCCAAAGGAGACGCCTCTCTCCCAGTTTAAATCCACCAGCAGCTCGGCAGGAGGAAAACGGGCAATTTCCTCCCGTGCCATTTGTTGATATTGTTGATTGCCAGATTCATGGCTAACTCTCTAACAGGCTTTCTGAGGCTGCAAATCAAATGGGTGTTGATTGTCCATCTGCTGTGCAGCAGCTGGTGGATTTGAACTTTGTGCCACTGAGTTTTGCTAACACAGCTCCTTACCACTAGGCCACCAGAACTCCCTCCTGTGCCATTTACAGCCTCTGAAAACCCAGTGGAGGGTCAGCTGTGAGTCCTTCCAGACCCAATCATGGAAAAATGAATGAGTTACACACACACACACACACACACACACACACACACACACGAAAAGGGAAAAACAGTTGTAAGTTAAAATTGTAATTTTTCAGACATTTTTCAATTTGCAGAGAACTCCATTTTGATTCTTCAATTGGCAGAAGCCCATGACCATATTTACAACTTTGTTTCTCAGGTGGTTTAGTGGATAACAAACTGCATTTCTAAGCGAAAGATCAATAGCTCAGCCATTCCTTGGGATAAGGATGAAGCAGATCTCTTCCAATTAAGATTTATAACCTCAGAAACCCAATGGCTGGTCACTACACGTCAGAATTGACTGAAAAGCAAGGGGCTTGGGGTTTTTGATAGACAATCTAAGGTCGCCGAGGAAGAACAGAATCAAGTCCAGGCCAAGACAGTTTATCGAGGAGAAACTGCCAAGCTGGCTCTCAAGCAGAAGACCGGCCCCTGCTTAAAGTTAGAGAGGGGTTTTATATTCTCTTACAAGGAACTTGGGGAAGGGAATGTTCACAGATGTTTTCTACAAGATAGAGAAGTGGGCTGTGGTCTCAGGTAACTATTTCTGGGAAAGAGGGTAGAATAGTTTCACATTCTTGACAGAAAAAGCATAGCGGCTGTTTCCTGTGATTGATTCTTTCAGTAGCCATTCAGAGAGAGGAAGGAAGGGGTTCTGCAGTCCTAAGAGACAACACTAGTGAATGCTCTGAATTCTGTAAGACATCAAGGTTTTAATCCATGGTAGAGTATGACAAGAACAACATGTTAGAGAATTATTCTTTCACTTTGCATACAAAGACAAGGTACTGTTGTCCACCAGGATAAAATTGTAAGTACTCAAAGGCCGGATGTGAAGTAGCTAAACAGGAATTGTGGCAATGGGATGAAGAGACAGAGAAACACACAAGAGACATTATGAAAAGAAGTATCTATAGAATTGGGGACATAGCTCTTGGATTTTAGAGAAAAGCTATGAAAATTAAGGGAAAAATTCATCATTTACCATAATGCCCACCATCTTTTAATTGGTGCTTTTCTTTTTAAAGGAAAAGAAAAATTTTCAGTATTAAAACTACCTGAAATAATGGAAAATTTCTATTTCATGAACCAAAAAAAAATGATTATGAGATCCTGGAACCCAAGATCAGTTGCCATCAAAGCAATTCTGCTCATGGTAATCCTATACATGTCAGGGAAAATCTGTGTTCAGAGAGCTTTCAGTGGCTGATCTTTTGGAAGTTGATTTCTAGATCTTTCTCCCAAGGCCCCACTGGTGAACTCAATCTTCTTTCTTTTAAGCTAGCTGCTAAGCTTGTTAGCTATGCCTACCACCATAATGCCAGATGGACTAGTATAAAGAACCAAAAACCTATCTGCTACTAGTACATTTGAATTCATAGCAACCTCATGTATTTGATTAGAGCTGTAATCCACAAGGTTTTCATTCGTTTTGAGCTCTCAAAAGTAGATGGTCAAGTTGTTCTTGCAGGGTGCCTTTGGATGGATTCAAACCACCAGCTTTGCAATTAACAGCCCAGAGCTCAATCAGTTTGGACATGCAAAGACTCCTTCAGAAGACGCATCCCATCCACTGATGTTTAGTAGAGTTCAACTCATAGCAACCTTCCATCGTGTTTCCAAGGCTCTAAATTCTTACTGTAGGAAATTTTCCATCTTTCTTTCACGGAGCAGCTCATTCACTTAAGACTGATGAGTGGTGACCACTCATAGCTGACCCTCTACTGGGTTTCTGAGGCTGCAAATTGCACAGAAAGAGATTGGCTATTTTTCTCCCACAAGGCAATTGTTGGATTCTAACCTCCAGAGAAGCTGGCTTTGGTATTAGCAGTATAACTCTCTCCCTACATACTAGACCACCAGAACTCCCTTGTAAAAGATAAAAAAAGATATTTAAAAAACAAAATAAAAAGAAGCTCCATCCAAATCATTAAACAATGTTAATTTCTTTGATAATTCATTCCTTGCCTCTCTGGTCCTATTCAAATATTACTAATTAAATAGCAGTGATAAGTTAACAGGTCTTCATTTTTCTTGTGATGCTGACAGTTTAGGGCATAGTGACAGAATGCAAGCTATACTCCATTGCAAATTAAGTTCATTTGCAACTAGAAATTCAACTCGTTTCATAGCCCTTAAAAATAGAAATTTAAAAAAATGCATAGTACAAATTTTCTATTGACCTTTTACTTTTATTTTCTTACAAATTGTAGATACCTCTTTTATTTGGAGACGAAGTCTGAAAGGTTATTTGTCAATATGGTCAAGAATGATTTCTCTAAGTGGTGGTTTCATGTGTGTTTTTGTTTTCACTCTTTACAATTTACATATTGTTGGAACTTTGAAAATATGACATGTGTTCCAACACTTTATTATAGAAAAGTTAAAACCTACAGAGAAATTGAGGAAATATGTGTTGAGTACACACTTATCCATCACCTATTTTTAAAAATAAATACTTTAGTGTTTTGTCATCTCTTCATTTTATATGCCTATCTTCATATAAATCTTATTACTTTTTAATTTATACTACTTTATTTTCAAAATTCTAATACATTGTTTTTCAGATCAGATTCTTCCAATTTCTCACCCATCAAATTGTACAACCCCATGATTAATCCCCAACCCCCCACCCATCCCCCATCCATCCTTATCCCTCTGCATCTCCCCCTCCCCTCCCCCTTCCATCCTCATACTCATTCTACAATAATAGTTTTATACAGTATTTGTCCTTATGGGACTGAGTTAGTTCACTCAGCATAATATTCTCCAGTCCCTCCCAAGTTAGGTAATAATTTACAAAATCATTTTTCCTGCATGTTGTGTAGTATTCCATTGTGTGAATGTACCATAATTTCTCAATCCATTCGATTGTGGTTGGACATCTGATGTATTTAAAAGTTAATGCAACTTTAGCATAGTATACCCCTAAGCACTTCATTTGAAGACTATAACATGAGTCAATGAGTTTGTAGACACGGATAAAATAAGAGTTAAAGCCAGTGTTGGAGGGAAGATGATAAATCGAAGTCATCTCAGCTTTATTTCAGACCTCAGAGATCTAGACTAGGCACAGAGGAAGCAGGCAGGTGGAAAAAGGTTGACTGAGATTCTGTGGTGAAGTGTGAAGAGCACTGGTTTAGGGAGATGCTACCCTGGGTGGGGGAGAGGAAAGAGGAGAGAGAAAAGAATGGAGGGTCATAGTCTGACTGTTACACATATTTAGGGATGGGACAACCACCTGGGGCAGCAGGTGTGAAGTCTAAGGCTTTTGTAAAAGATGCAATTTTAAAGAGGTTGAAGGGTGAAAAGTCACATTGTTGTGGGGAAAACAGAAAACTCTAGACTGGATTCCACCAAGCAATGAGGGGATAAAAGCTAAAACCAACTATTCCTGAGTCTCATTGAATCAGGGGTGGTGGAGAGGTGTCTGAAGCTCTCCAATGGCCCAGGGAAGAAGCAGAGGTGGGGAGTCAGTCTGGGGCCCATAGGGAGAGAACCAGCCTGACTGTGCAACACTTTCATGCTCTGTTGGCTTCTAATTCCACAGGCGTTAAAGAGCCACGGACAAGACTACCTTGTGGGCAACAAGCTGAGCAGAGCTGACATTCAAGTGGTTGAAATTCTCTACTACGTGGAGGAGCTGGACGCCAGCCTTACAGCCAATTTCCCACTGCTGAAGGTGACTGATTTCACAGCCCTGCTCCTCCTATCTGGGAATCTAGCATTTGGACCCTTGGACTGATGGTTTTTTGGTCCCAGTCTTCTCTAGATCTTCACTCCCTTTTATGTCACCAAAATTACCTTCTTTTAGGTCTTAGTTCTGTGCTATGAACAGGTCTTGTTAAACTAAGGAAATTTCAAGTGGATAGTGGTCCATGAATACTTGAGTTGTATCATGAGAAGCACCCAGGACTCAGCATCTCTCCACTCAGTTCTCTATTCCATTGCTGCCTCTGGACACGTTTTCCTGTCATTTCCTTTCTTACATTATAGTCTTCTCTTCCCAAACCTGTCTCTGTGTGAGTAGGTCACTTCTCGCTCTGATTTACCCTTACTCCCACTCTGTATTTCCAACCTTGGGTACCTACCTCTCCGCCCAGGTCCGCCTGCCTTGCACAGCCTCCTATATTTCTCTCTCAGTGGGAAACTTGCTTTCAACTGCCCCATGGCTAGCTGTTGTTGTTAAATGCTGTCAAGTGTCATAAGTGACTCATAGTGACCCTATGAACAAATGACCTGAATATTGTATAACTTTCTTCGTGTCAGTTTTCATTTCCTCTGTGTTCATTCCATTTTTTTCTCTTATCTTTTCTGTTCTTTTGAGTACCTATTAGTGTGATATCTGACCTGAAGACAGATGAATTAGTCTTCCTTGTATAGTACAAACCCAACAAATATACAAAACGTCCCCTTAAGGAAGAGTATATAGGAAAGACTGTTAAGAGTCAAGTGTTAAACACAGGTGTCTTCAGGGCGCAATATTCTGGAGCAGTATTTTCTTCCTTCTTCCTTCTACCTTTATTTTTCCCTGAGTATCTGTTTCCCATTTGAGTGTGAATGGAGGACAGTCAGCTGGCCCTTCTCTGGAAGGGTCTCAAGTGTCCTCAGGTGTCATTACAAGGTTGCTGTAATGACCGGCTGGGCCTTTGGCTTCACTCTAAAGGCTGTGCTTACTGTTGTCCATTGCAGGCCCTGAAAACCAGAGTGAGCAACCTGCCCACGGTGAAGAAGTTTCTGCAGCCAGGCAGCCAGAGGAAGCCTCCCCTTGATGATAAAGCTTTAGAAAAAGCCAAGAAGATTTTCAGGATCAAATGAGGCAGCCCTGGATTGCCATGCACACACTGCACAAATGGGAAATTTACAAGAGTGAAGTGTTTTGTGAATCACTAATCCTGGCTATTGTGTGATTAAAGCTTTAACAAAGTATGTTACCTGGTTTAATTAGAAATCAGCTATGTGTAGATTTAGGTCCCTGAGTGGCACAAAGGGTTTGCGTGTTCTGCTGTTAACCTAAAGCTGCCTATTTGATGTTACCCAGTAGCACCTTGGAAGAGAGACCTAGCAATTGGTTGTCTAAACATTACGTCCACTAAAACTTCACAGAATAATTCTATTCTGTAACACAGGGGTTCCCCATGCACTGAAAATAACTTGACAGCAATGTGGATTTTTCCATTCAATCATTCATAGATAATATGTGGAGATTTCTTTTCTTTTCAGTCTGTTTTAGTCCAAAGATGAGCTCATAATTACTTTTGTGGGATGTTTCTTGCAATAGAAAATAAATAAATGGGGGGGGGGAATATATGGACTCTGTGGTCTATTCAAAAAACTACAAAACAATTATCACTTTCCATATCAAGAAGAGGGAAATGGAAGCTTTGCATCTTACAGTATCAGTTGCATAGTTTGACCTTTTATGTTTCCTGCTTCTCTGACAAATGGCGTATAATGTTTCCCTTTTTCTTAGCATCACTTTCCTCAGCTAATCTATTTTTCCTGAACAAATAATCACATCAAATACGGACCATTATTTCATGAGGTAGCGAAATCATGAAGAACACTCCAGACACAGCCTCATAGGGCTTAATCCAATCTCACAGTGATTATTCAGGTGAGAGGAACTGACAAAAACACTGAGGCAAAATAATGAAGATCCTCTGTCTCAGTTACCGAAGGCTGCCATTGCAAACTACTACAAACGAGGTGGCATAAAACAAAACTTCTATTCTCACAGTTTTGAAGAACAATAATGTAAAATCAAGGGCCACATTCTCTCTGAATACTCGGGGATGGGAGGGGGGGTGGAATCTGTTCTGCCTTCTTCCTACAGTTCTGTGGTTACAGAAATACATGCCGTTCCTAGGCCTGGAGACACATCTCCTCAATCTCTGCCACCTTTATCACTTGGTGTTCTCCATAGGTGGATGTCTGTATCCAATTTTTCTTCTTTATAAGACACCAGAGTCCCTGGGTATTATTGTTGTTAGGTGCCATTGAATCAACTACAACTCGTAGTGATCCTAGGAACAACAAGATTGATTGACCCAGGAACTAACAATGGGCTAGAACTTACCAGGGTTCATAAAGACAGTACAGGATAGAACAAGGTTCAGGTATGTTGTTTATACGGTTGCAAAAAAACCCTGGGTATCATAAACAGATCACATGCTCAACTGCTAACAGAAAGGTTGATAGTTCATATCCACTCAGAGAAGGCCCTGGAGAAAGATTGGGCAATTTCAGAGAAAAAATCTGCCATTGAACACGCTATGGAGTGTAATTCTTCCCTGACGCATATGAAGTTATTATGAGACAGAATCTAATCAACAGCAACAGGAAAGGAACACCAGTTATTGATCTCATCGTAACAGGATTGCATTTCAAAAAAACCCCTTTTTCTTTCAAATAATATGACATCCATAGGAATAGAGGCTCGTATGCATCAAATTGTGTGTCCCTCAAATGTATATTAGAATCCTAGAGGATATGCCTGATTGGGAACAGGGTCTAGGTATGTTAATAGGACCATATCTGTACAGTGTATCTTGTTGATGTTGTTGATTACCTTCATGTCAAGCACGAGCCAAAGACCCTATGAACAAAAGGCCTGAAGCCCCCTCTACAACTATCGGCATTTATCAAAGTTCATCAAAGTTTCCAGAGGCATGTTGCTTAGGAAGTGGATGCCATAGTATATTTTAAGCATAATAGTTTCTAAGTTCTAAAAAGAGCACATTGGACATAGAAGTGAGAACAAATACTGTAAAATGGACCATCTGAAGATAAGGGAGGCAAACGGATGTATAAGCCCAGGAAATCCAAGTACTACCACCTGCTAGCAGTAGACATAGAGAAACTCCTTTGAGTTGTACTCTGAATTCAAACTGCCAGGATTAAAAAATGTGAGAATATACATTTCAGTTCTTTCAAATCACCCGCTTGTAATATTTCTGTTATGTTGCGTTTAGGTTCCATTAAGTTGACTATGACTCATAGCAACTCTATGAACCACGTATCTAAACCTTGCCCTGTCCTGCGCCATCCTCACAACCTCTTATATTGTCAAGACCATTGTTGCAGTTACTGAGTCGATCCATCTTGTGAAAGAGAAGGCCTCTGCCTTGTGAGAGGGGTCTTTCTCTCTTTCCCCCAGCACAACATCTTTTTCCAAGGACATTTCTGGTACAGCAGCTCTATTATCTCTGAGATATTTCTGTTATAAAAGCCAGCTCAGTGTAGTTGAGTAGGAACCTACCCAGAACTGACCCTCCAGCAGGTTTCCAAAGCAGTAAATTGCACAGGAGGAGTTTACCCATCTTTCCCCCTTTAAGTGGCTGGTCCTGACAGACTATACAACCAGAGCTCCTTAATTCTGTTACAGCAACACTTCATCTCTGTGGTCTTTCTGTTATAGCAATTCTATATGTAAGCACCAAGGCGGGTGAGGGGAGACAGAGACTCAAGGATGACATTCTCTCTGTGACTTCCCTGTAAGGCCATTACAGCCCAGCAAGACCTTCCAGAAGGGGCCCCGATTCCCTTCAAGCATATACACCCATCTTCAGTTCTAGGTTACACAAGAAATTAAAAAAAAAAAAAAAAAGAGGTAGCTTTGTTAAACAACCTTCCAACCATGTACACTTACACCATCATCAGGGTTGGACTATCCAGTAAGCAAAATAAGCAGAAATTTATTTTTATTTGGGTTTACTTACTCATCTGTAGTGAACTGTCTCACATTTTCTCATTGAAACTGTGACCCTTCTTCAACATATGGCTGTCATCTGTCTCTCTCCCAATCCCACAGCCCCTTCCTATGGATCAAACCCTCTTTTCACATTTTCCATCTCTGATAGGGGCACAGTACCCATGAAAGCCAGCACAGGTTTGCGTGTGCTTCTTAACTCATCTGTAGAGAAGAGTTTCACGTGCGTCCCATCACCTTGCACAGCAAGTGAGCTATTTGTTGCTGTTGTTTGTTCTCATCCAGATTCTGACCATTAAGTTAACCTATAAAAGGGGTTGGTGACCTTATCAGACCCAGGATTTTTACTGCAGCCCAATGAACTTACTTATCTCACTGTACTTGTACTTGGCATACAAGATGGATGAGATATCCCCTGACCCTTTTGAAGAGTTCATAACTGAAGTGAGATGAAAGATACGCAGAGAAAGGATTACAAATCAATACATAATGTTGATTTCAAGGAGAGTTCCAGCATGAAAGACAAAAAAGGGACTATTAAAAAAAAAGTGGCTGGTCAAGGTACAAATGTGATCCTGCTTTGGCCAGTAAATGTATCAAAGCTTATCAGAGGCTATGTGGGGTGAGAGGGAGGAGATGACAAAGGAGTCACTACTTAGATCAAGAGATGAATTGCATTGGAAAAGTCTGCGGTCAAGGACCTCTCCAGAGTACCGAACAGCAACGATGTCAGTTTGGAGATTAAAGTGCACTTGATCCAGGCCATGGTCTTTGCAATCACTTGCTATTCATCAGAGCTGGACAATGACTAGATATGATAGAAAGAGAATTGATGCTTTTGAGTTGTGGTGCTGGAGAAGAATATTGAATATGCCATGGACTGCTGGGAGAACACAGGAAGAAAACTTTTCGGCTTTTTTGCCTCTGAAACTTGCCTTGCCAGGACCATCTGCCTCCAGCCCCGACCCCAGAAAGTGAGAGATCTGTGCATCTATGAGCTACTGGGGCACGATTCTGTCAGACCTCTGGCTGGTTGAACACTGTGGTTTAAATCTCCCCATGGCGCACGAAGAGGGCAAGTGGCAGGCAGCAGAGTGGGAGGCACGGAAGGATCGCTGGCCCCTCACTAGCTGCTTGGCTCCTCTGGTACCCTGCTTGTTCTCATCTGCCCAGTTCTGCCCCCTGGCTTCAGGTGGAGCGACACAGCTGGACCTGGGCAGAGGAACAGGCCCTTATCAGGCCAGCTGCACTCAAGCTGTGGCAGCTGTGGGCCCCTCCACCAGGTGTGGCAAGAAATACCTGGGTGTACACCAGTTAAAAGAAACTTCATCACTGTTAGGCCCAGCCAGGACCTTCCCCAGAGCAAATGCACAGTGTCAGTTATTTCTTTCCTATCACCGTGGTTACTGCCAAATCTGATCCATGACTTCTTGGCCATAGCTTATAGCTTTATTATAGAAATATGACCAAAACTAACATTTTCAGACTTTGTATAAGTCCAAAATTCACTTCTGATGTGTCCTTAAAATAACTATACCAGAACTTTGGAAAATAAACTAAGGAAACTAAAAAACTCCACATAATTTTGGCATTGTGACCCCTTTATGTGTATATGCTCCACATTTAGGTGGGTATGCTAATTGTTGGGGGAAATATGATATGGGTGAACTCCAGTGTCATAGAATGTAAAAGGTAACACTGCCAACAGGCTGCTCCTCCCTGGTGGTGGCTACCCACCAATGGCTCCTCAGGACAAAGACAATCTCTTCCCATGTGATTCATGACCTTGGAAATGCAATGGAGGGTCAGCTATTTCTGACTAGGCTGGGGAGCGGAGAGAGCGTGGTGGAAAGAGAGGTGTTAATTTATATTTACCATGACTCTGACGGCCAAGTAGTAAGAAGCTGTGCTACAGCCCCAAAGGCACAGGGTTCTAATTCACCAGTTGCCTGCAGAAGGATGGTCAATCTCCTCCCATGTGATTTATCGCCTTGGAAAACCCACTGGAGGGTCAGTTATGAGTTGGTTCCAATTCAGCAACAACAACTGGTGGCCCAGTGAGGTGAGGAGCTGCGCCAGCCACCCAAAGATATAGGGTTAGAATTTCACTATCATGATGTTGCTTATTGGTCCAGTGATAAAGATTTTTGTCTTCTTGATTTTGAGATGTAATCCATATTTGTTCCCATTCCAAAGAAAAATGACCTAACAAAGCACAGAAATTATCTAACAATATCATTAACATTACATGCAAGCAAAATTCTGCTGAAAATTACCCCAAAACAACTGCAACAGCACATCAGCAGAGAACTACCAGATGTGCAGGCTGGGTTTAAGAGGGCATAGCACTAGGGATATTATAGCTAATGTTAGATGAATCTTAGCTGAAAGCAGAGAGCCACAGAGGATTGGTGATCTGTGTTTCAATTACTATGCAGAGGCACTTGTGTGGACCCCAATAAATAGTGGCTAACTCTGATAAAAATGGGAATCCCAGAACATTTGATTGTGCTTATGTGAAATCTCTACTTGGACCAGGAGCCAGTAGTTGGAAGAAGGTAAAAGACACAGCAGGGTTTAAAATTTGGAATGGTGTATGCCAGGAATGTGTCCTTTCTCCATACCTTTTCAATCTGTATGGGGAACAGATCATCCAGGAGGCTAGGCTCTCTATTCTATAAGGAAAAATGTGGCTTCAGGATTTGAGAAAGACTCATTACCTGTGTTAAGCAGATGACACAACACTGCTTGTCGAAACTGAGGAGGACCTGAAATGACTGCAGCCTTCTCTATGGATTGAAGCTCAACATCAAGAAAACAAAGATTCTCACCACTGGCTCAATTGGTGGCATCATGATAGATGGTGAAGAGATTGAGATTGTTAACAGCTTTAATTTGGTTGGTTCGACAATCATCAGTTATCGTGATTTCCAGCAGCCAGGAAATCAAAAGTTTACTTACTTTGGTAAAGTATGCTGTCAGAGACATCTCCAGAGTACTGAAGAGCAAAGATGTCAGTCTGGAGACTAAGGTGTGCCTGATCCAAGCCAAGGTCTTCACAATTACATGCTATGCATCAGAAAGCTGGACAATGACTAGGAATGATAGAAGGAGAATGATGCCTTTGAACTGTGGTGCTGGAGAAGAATATTGAATATATCATGAGCTGCTAGGAGAACAAGCAGGTTTGTCCTAGAGAAGGTGAAATCAGGCTGCTCTGTGGAGGCAAGGCTTTGAAGCTTTTCTGACATACTTTGAGCATGTTGCAAGGAGGGACCAGTCCTTGGAGAGAGACATTATGCTTGGGAAGTTGAAATGACACAAGGGGAAAAGACTCTAGATGAGATGGATTAACTCAGTGACTGGGATAATGGGGTAGGTGTGTCAGAGACAATAAGGTAGGCTCAGAATAGAGCAGGGTTCAGAGTTATTTTACATAAGGTTGCTATGAGTCGCAGGTGACTTGATGACACATAATAACGACAACAACAACAACAGTTCATATTGAACGCTGTATGCAGACTTTGATATTCTGCAGCAAGCATTTCAAGTCCCTCTCACTTTCAGCAAGCAAGATTGATTCCTCTGCATAACACAGGCTGTTGATGAGTCTTCCTCTAAATGCTATGGAAGAAAGTGGAGTCACCTCCCTCCATCTTTGGGCCCAAGGAACTTGCTACCTTCACACCTTGTGCTAAGCAGCAACACCAAATATCGAGGTCCTGCCCTGATATATCAGTTCCGCTGAGAGAAGGGACAAGGATTGGATGAAGACGCAGAGAGCCTCATCGTTGATCACGAATCCCCTTTTATTATCTCTGAAAAGGCTTATATAGGTTTAAAAAAAAACACCACATCTGCAGGGGTATTCACATTATCTCATTTAGGTTTCCATTTGAGATGGTTCTAGCCAAGATGGAATTGGTTCTGCTGGTTTTACACATGCAATGCCAATCTTGCCTTGCAAGTTAGCCAGGCCTCTGACAACCAAAGATCCAACTACACCAACGTAAGCCAGGCCCCCACCCTGTCATGCTGCCATGGACCTCAGCTGGGGCCAGAGAGGGCTGTGACATGGTATTTGTATTCTCTATTGTCTTTATGGCTTGCTATTAGATGTACAATATCTGGTCATTGCACTGAAGAATGATCTGCATGTTACTAATTACTCTGTAGCTTAGATGGGTATATGCTTGCTTCCTTGTTATTTCCTCTTATTAGCATAGCACTTATCTGCCAGTTTGCTCTACTGGGGAAACTTGTGGGTTGCTGTGATGCTGGAAACTATGACACCCATATGTGAAATCTCAGAGGGCATTGATGGTGACTGGGCTTCAGCAGAGCTTCCAGATTAAGGCATATTAGGAAGCAGCATTGACCATCCACTTCTGAAATAACAAGCCTCTGAAACCCCTATGTTATTAGTTACTGTCAATCAGCTCTGAACCCTGGTGACCTTCTGCACAACGAATGAAATAGTTCTTGGTTTTGTGCTGTTGTTGGTATTGTTGAGGACACTGTGTATTTTTACTTTCTTGTAACTCATGCTATTCATCTTCCAGCACTGCGTTGGGCCTTATTCTGTTCTTATCAATAGGAATTTCATTGATTAACGTTTACAAGGTTTACAGATGATGAGATTGGCTGACAATTGGGCACCGTTCAGAGCTGGTGTACATAAGGTTGCTATGAGTCGCAAATGAATCAATGGCACATAACAACAACACTCTCCAGGCTGTTCTTCCCTTCTGTCCTACTCTGGAAGTCTACAGGAGACTGAAAACTATCCACCTAGGGTGACCCTGCTGGTATTTGAAAGGCGGATGGATTAGCTCTGCAGTAGCATAACAATTAACAAGCCACAAACTGACAGATGGCTGAAGGTATATTCACTATGCCAGAGAGTAAATATTTGGAAGATTATCACTGGGTAACCTACAAAGACCTGTTGTTAAGAAAAGAACAATTTGGTATTTAATCTTTATACCATACTTCATTTCCCCAGAAAGATCTTCTATACCTTTGAAAACTGTAAATTGTGTAAAGCAAAAACCTGTCAGAGAAAGAGAACCCAAATATTTTCCATTCAAATGAGTTATAACAAAATGGTAAGATCCAAAGGCAAAACCTTTTTTTTTTGGTAGGATTTTTGAGGCTTTTAAAAAATTCATTGTGGTATTCCTTATTTATTCATTTTCTCCTCCCCTCCCGCCTCCCCCAGCATACTCCTTGTTCCAGATTGTCATACATGTAATACTTAATCATTTCTTTCTCTGTGCCAGTTCTTCTCCTCATCTATTCTACTGCAGTTTCATTATCTAGCCACTCTTTTCCCATTCTCTCCCCACACCCCCCCAAGACTGTTCTATTTAATAACAGCAGTGTTATGCAGTTTTTGTCCTTTTGTGACTGAGATGTGTCATTCAACCTACTCTCCCCCAGGTTCCCCATGATGTGCAACATTTTATGAGTTTGTAGTATAATATTCTGTTATGTGAACGAACTATAATTTTTCTATTCATTTGTATGTTGATGGACATTTTGGGTTGCTTCCATCTTTTCACTACTGTGAATAAGGCAGCAATAAACATAGGTGTGCATACATCTATTTGAGTGTGGCTCTGGTTTCTGTGGGGTATATTCCCAGTAGTGGAATTGCTGGGTCAAATGGTATTTCTTTTAGAGAAAGCACCAGACTGCCTCCTACAGTGGCTGTACCATTTTACCTTCCCACTAGCAGTGAATAAGAGTTCTCCAATCTCTCCACAAATTCACCAGTATTTATTGTTTGTTGCTCTGTTGAACTTTGCTTTTGTTGCTGGGGTAATATTGTAACTCATACCTGCTTTGGCTTGCTTCTCTCTAATCACTAGGGATTTTGAACATTTCTTCCTGTGTTTGTTTGCCATCAGACTGTCCTCTTTGGTGAAGTGTCCATTCATATCCTGTGCTTATTTTGTGATTGGTTTGTTTACCTTTTTCTTGTTGAGGTGCTGAAATATTCTATAAATTTTACATATAAATCCTTTATCAGTTACACTATTGCCAAATACTTTTTTTTCTCTTAGCCTGTGTGTTGTTTTTTCTTACCCTAAAAGAGAAGTTTTTTGATGTACATAGGAATTTGATTCTTAGAAGGTTCCATTGATTTATTTTATTTTCTCCTGGTTGTAGAGAGTTTTTATTATGCTTGTAAGACTGTTTGTGCTGTGGATTAGGGCTTCTAGAGTTCTTCAAAGCTTTTCTCTGATGAAGTTTATAGTCTTTGATTTTACTTCTAGGTCCCTGATCCATTTGAGTTGATTTTTTGTATTATGTGAGGTGTGGATCTTACTGAAGTTTTCTGCAGATGGTTTTCCAATTTTGCCAACACAATTTGTTAAAGAGCCTGTCATTTCCCCACTGATTTTGTCTCCTTGTCAAAGATCAGTTGACCAAAGCTAGATGAGCTGATTTCTGGGTTCCTTATTCTATTCCATTGATCTACCAGTGCCATGCTAGCTTGTCCACCATGGCTGTGTAGTCAGATTTGAGATCAGGGAATGTGATGCCTCCTACCTTGTTTATTTTAGTGGAGTTTTGCTTATTCAAGGTCTCTTTCCGTTCCAGATAACATTGGAATTTGCCTTTTCCATCTTGTCGAAGAATTGAATTGGTATCTGTATTGGAATTAAATTGAACTTGTAGACTCCCTCAAAGGCAAAACCTATTGAGAATCAGAAAAACTCAAAGGTGAAAAAAGTTTTTGAGATCCAGAAAAACAAAACAATATGCCAAGTTTTGGCTCTCAGAGTTTTCACTGTGTATACTATTGAAAGTGCATATTAATTTCTCTGCCTGTACTGGGAGAATTGAGTTGAGATTGGGACCATTTTATGCAGTAATCTTTCAATTGTCCCAAATCTTTTTCAAGGACACATACCAACCACTGCCTTTTAGATGAGGCAATCATGTGTTGGGACAACTTGAATCTTCTGTTAATTTTTTTCTGTCTCTGCCCCCTTTTCTCTCAGACAACCTTTGTTCACTCCCCTCTGCAACCAGTGGCTATGTCTGACTACATTTCCCCTTTGAAACTTTCAACACAGTTGTGACATTCTGAGTAAACAGACCAGCCAAGCATTCCCAATAGAAAAATATATCTAAACCTTGACTTCAGAAATTGATAAAATCTTTTTACAATTTCTGGCTTCAAGAAATAATATTTCCTCCCCTTTTTAAAAGCACTCACTGGGCCTTTTGTCAGTGACCCACTGAGCCGTCAAGAAAAGGCAGAATAAAAACACTACTTTTGGGTGAAGCAGCAACATCTTGTGTTGTTTTGCTCCAATCAGTGGTGTAACAAGGTATAATACCTTTTGAATTAACTGGTGTAAAAGCTTTGGTTTGGGAGAAGTGCTGCTAGTAGATAAAATACTCTTTAATATGCTCTGGAAAAATTAACTTTTGTAGGAGCCAAGAATTTATATATCATCTCTGTGAAGGGGATCAAGGGACAACTTAACAGACTTCCTGCTGCTGGTGTGGGTGACATGGTGATGGCCACTGTCAAGAAAGGAAAACCAGAGCTCAGAAAGAAGGTACATCCAGCAGTGGTAATACGACAACGAAAATCATACCGGAGAAAAGATGGGGTGTTTCTTTATTTTGAAGATAATGCAGGAGTCATAGTAAACAATAAAGGCGAGATGAAAGGTTCTGCCATCACTGGACCAGTTGCAAAGGAGTGTGCAGACCTGTGGACCAGGATTGCATCCAATGCTGGCAGCATTGCATGATTCTCTAATGTATTTGTAAAAAAAAAGTTCACCCAATTAAAACATTATTTGCTACCAAAAAAAAAAAAAAAAAAGAAATAATAGTTCCAACAATGAATGAATGGAAATCCAAAATCTCTGTAAATGTTCATTAAAATTAATAAAGTAAAATTTTTTAAAAAGAAATCATAGTTCTAAGCTTGTATTCAACATAAGCTTAGTGTGCACCTGTTATGTTCCCTGAGTTGTTCTAGGCATGGAAGATGGATGTCATAGCACACAAGCATAGTCATTATAGTACAGTGGAGAAAGATAAAGTGAATAATCATATCAATGAAGAGTATACTTATGGTCAGTAATAAATACAATTCTGTCTTGAAAGGAGTGTAATCAGAATGCTCCTTAGAGACAGGGTTGGTGAAATTCCATCTCACTTTAGGTATGCTGTCAGGAAGAACTAGTCCTTGGAAAAAGGCATCATGCTGGAAAGTTTGGGAATCAGCAAAAGAAAGGAAGACCCTCATGAGACAGACTGACCCAGTGAGTATCATAATGGTCTTGAGCATGACAAGGGTCATGAGGATGATGCAAAACAAGACTACGCTCACATCTTGTTGTTTATAGGGTTGCTATGAATCAGTCAATTCAGCGGCACTTGACAACAAGAGCAATTAAGCAGTTATATGACAGAAGGAACCCTGGTGGTACAGTGCATTATCTTTCAGGTTGTTGTTGTTGTTGTTGTCGTTAAGTGCTGTCGAGTAATAGAAGACCCATAGAGACCATATGAATGAAAGACCTGAACACTAGTATAACTTTCATCATTTCTCCAAGTTCATTGAGTTTCCAGAGGCAAGCTATATCAGAAGTAGATGCCACTCTTGCTTCCAAGCCTGTTTAATTGGGGAGCGCCACCAAACACTGTCAGCCACGGATAACCATTATCACATTTGACATATCAGTGTCACAGTGTTCAGCTTCACAGCTACCACGAGTTGCCTCTGTACAGCAAACAGACAGACTAGTACTATACCACTAACTAAATTGTGATGGCTTTGAACCTACCAGCTGTTCTAAGGGATAATCATAAGACATTCTATTCCTGTAAGATTGACAGTTTTAGTCTGTCCTATAGTGTGACTATGAGTTAGCACTAACTGGATGGCAGTGTTTCATGATAATGGGCTGTTTTCTGTGTGTGTGAGTATGATGGAGAGTAAATAGGATGGTGGTAGCAGATGATTGAGAATAAATGGTCTAAGAAGACTAAATCCTGAATCACGTGAAGAATCAAGCATGAGGATATATAGGAGAAGAGTGTCTTAGCCAGAGGAAACTGGAAGGGTACATGCATAAAAGGGTGATGTGTATCAGGCACAGTAGACAGGCCAGTGTGTGAGAGAAAGAGAAAGAGAGTGGAAGAGTATTGAAAGGTGAAGTCAGAGAGGTAGATGCAAATGTTGTTGCTGTTGTTAGGTACTGAGGAGTCAATGTTATTTATTCATTGTGAATCAACATGACAGAGGGAACTATTCCATTGTAGAATTCTTCCAAAGCATTTTTCTAGACTGATCTTTACAGAAAAAAGTTAAGTAGATTGGACTTAGTTTCATTTGAAATTGTAGAAAGTCAGCTAAAATGGTCTATTGCAGTGTTAGGGTTCCTCAGGCACTTTATGGAGCGCTGGTAGTGTAATCCATTCAGAGTTGCACTGCTAAGCCAAAGGTCAACCTATCTTTTAGTTTTAATCCACTAGTAGCTCCAGAGAGAAAGCTGGGCAATCCCTTAGTGTATGATTTAAAGCCTTGAAAACTCAATAAAGGATCAGCTCCTGAATCAGAAATGAGAGAGAGAGATTGTTTCAATCATCAAGAGGTCAATTTGTAGTTGGACATTTGCACTATTTCCATGTTCTTGCAATGGTGGATAACGCTTCTAAGAATGCTGGAGAACAATGTCCATTTCCGTCTTAGTTCTAACTTCCTTGGAGTATGTTCCTGATATTGGAATAGTTGGATCATGCAAATATTCTATGTTCAGCTTTTTGAGGAAAACACCAAACTGCCTTCCAGAGTGGCTGGGTTATTTTACTATTTATTATTAATCCCACTGTAGACTAAATGAATGTGGTACATTTGTACAATGGAATACCATGCAGCACTCAGGAGCAGTAACTCCGAAAACTACTACATAATTTGGGAGAGACTGGAGAGCATTATGCTGAGTGAACTAGCTCAGTCTCATAAGGACAATACTGCACAAAAATCAATATTGTAAAAGTAGAAGGATGACTAGTAAAACATTTACGGAGACCCAAAGGAGAAAAAGAGTGGGAGCAGAGAGGTGAGGGTGGGTAGGAGCGAAATCATAGGATTGTACAATTTGGTGGGTAGAGGGAGGGGATAAAGGAAATAGGAAATACTTATCAGGGACCTTTTCAATCTGTATGCAAAACAGATCATCGAGACGCTGGGCTATACAAAGAGGAATGTGGCATCAGGATTGGTGGAAGAATCAACAACCTGCGTTATGCAGATGACACAACCCTGCTTGCTGAAACTGAGGAGGACCTGAAGTGCTTGCTGCAGAAGACCAGGGACTGCAGCCTCCTATATGGACTGAAGCTCAACATCAAGAAAACAAAGATTCTCACCACTGGGCCAACTGGCAGCATCAGTACGGATGGTGAAGAGATTGAGATAGTTAACAGTTTTAATTTACTTGTCTCCACAATCAACACTCTTGGTAACAGCAGCCAGGAAATCAAGAGATGAATTGCATTGGGAAAGTCGACTGTGAGTGACCTCTCAAGAGTACTGAAGAGCAACGATGTAAGACTGGAGATTAAGGTGCACCTGATCCGGGCTATCGTCTTTGCAATTACGAGCTATGCATCAGAGAGTTGGACAGTGAATAGGGTTGGTAGAAAGAGAATTGATGCCTTTGAGCTGTGGTGCTGGAGAAGAGTGTTGAATATACCATGAACTGCTAGGAGAACAAACAGGTTTGTCTTAGAGAAGGTGAAACCAGAATGCTCCTTGGAGTCAAGGATTCTTAAGCTTCGTCTGACATATCTGGGGCAGGTTGCAAGGAGGAACTGGTCCTTGGAGAGGGACATCATGTTTGGGAGAATGGAGGGGCAGCGAAGGAGAGGAAGACCCTCGATGAGATGGATCGATTCTGTGACTGGAGCGGTGGGAATAAGTGCTTTTGCAATGGCTAGGTTGGCACAGGATAGAACAGCGTTTAGAGCTCTTGTACTTAGGGTCGATATGAGTCAAACATGACTCCATGGCACATAACAACAACAACAACAGCAGGGACCTGAAAAGATAGGGTAATGGTAGGCATAGTTCAATGGTAATTAAGTCTATAAAACATAATAAAAGGGAATGATTGTATGAAACACATGGTGAATGAAGAGTGAAACACAATGTACATGAACTTTGTAAGCAAACCAATGTAAAAAAAAAAATTATAAAGAGGTCACTTTGCTCTGTAAAGAGCTCCATCTAGTGCTCAGTCATTAAGTCAAAAGCGGAGAAATCTGAGTTGTTAGTTGGGATGATTCTATATGTAGGATCAACAAGCACATGAAGCGATTGAAAATGCCATGGCTTGTAACAGACACATCTTAGTCTTTAAACTGACGTCCTTGCTCTTTAGCATGTTAAAGGGGTCCTTGACAGTACATTTGCCCAATACATTGCTTGATTTCTTGATTGCTGTGTCCATGGGAGTTGATTTTAGATCCAAGTAAAATGAAATCATTGACAACTTCAATAACTTCTTCATTTATCTTGATGTTGCTCTCATATTGTTTTTGTAAGTTTTTATAAGTTTAAATATTTTTACAATAAGCTTTATTAAAATGAATCTACTTGTATAAGAATGTGTGCCACTCCACACATGCAAGTAAAAATATCAAAACTGAGCTTAATTGCACTTAATTGCAAAGTTCTGTGTTTTAGAGTTGGTTTAGATTGGGTTAATATGTTGTGGTAGTGGTGTTAAGCTGAGTCGCTTGTGACTCAGAGTGACCCTATGTACAACAGCCGTGAAATCTGCTCTGTCCTGTGCCAGCTTGACTGTTTCTGACACACCTACCCTCATTTCCCCAGTCACTGTAGCAATCCATCTCATCGATGGTCTCCCTCTCTTTCTCCATCCCTCCACCCTTCCAAGCATGATGTCCCTCTCCATGGACCGGTCTCTCTTTGCAACATGCCCAAAGTATATCAGACGAAGCTTCAGAATCCTTCCCTCCAAGGGGCAGCCTGGCTTCATTCTCTTTAGGACGAGCCTGTTTGTTCTCCTAGCAGTCCATGATATATTCAATACTCTTCTCCAGCACCTCAGCTCAAAGGCACCAATTCATGCCATTGAAATGTCTTAGTTTTGCTTCCTTTTCCCCAATATCATTTAAATTGTTGGTTTTTGTTAAGTGCCGTCGAGTCATAGGCAACTTACAGCGACCCTATGAACAAAAAGTCCTCAATACTTGTGTGACATTCATCCTTCCTCCAGGTTCAAAGGGTTTCCAGAGGCAAGCTATTTCAGAAGTGGATGCCACTCCTGCTTCGCTTCCAAGCTTGTTTTAATTGGGGAGCTCCACCAAACACTGTCCACCATGGGTAACCACTATCGCGTTTGAGACATCAGTGTCACAGTGTTTAGCATCACAGCAACCACGAGTTACCCCTGTACAGCAATTCACAGACCAGTGCTATACCACTTAGAAGAATGTTTGATAAAATAACAATTTAAACCAGTCCTGAGGGATGCAGATTAAAATCACTCACTTTGGGCTTGGTAGCATAACTTTCTGTCCCCTAGGCCAATGAATTTCTATGTTGTCATTGTTATTGTTGTTAAGTGCAGTCAAATCATAGACAACTTATAGCAACCCTATGAATGAAAGACCTAAGCACTGTCCAAAGAGTTTCTGGAGCCAAGCCACTTCAGAAATGGATGCCATTCCTGCTTCCAAGCTTGTTTTAATCAGGAAGGGAAAAAAAACC